TCACCTGGGCCACCTTCTGCACAGTGGTCTCCAGCAGCCCTTTGTTCTGACAGAGGAGCAAGGCGGCTGCCAGCCCTCTGCTCACGATGGGCTCCTCATCCAGGATGGTGGTGGACGAGGCCGAGGACTCCTGCTGCTGCTTCTCCCGGTCTCTGTTGACCCTGCTCCAGCCGATGTTCTCCCCGTCAGATTCAGAGCCATGGTTGGCTGAGCGCTCATCACTCCACTCTAAGTCCATGAGCTCCTCCTCTTCCTCCTGGTTTCCAGCCACTGTGTTGGTGGGGATCTCCCCCAGGGTGCGACAGAACTCCGAGGTGGCGTTCAACACAATGGCCTCCTTCTGCTCAGGGCCTTCATCCTCCTCCCAGGCCCGCTGGCAAGATTCCAGCCTCTTCAGCATCTCCACCACCTTCTGGCCACTGTCTTGCCACTGCTGGCGCCGAGTTGACCATGTTGGAGTCCAGTACCTTAACAACCACGCCACCTTCTGGCCCTAATGGATTTTGTTTTTCACATTTGAAGTTAAGGCTTACATATATATTTTTTTTTTTTTTGAGAAGTTTTTGCTATAGGGTGCGTGCGCTTGCCAGACAGATACAGAGAGAGAGAGAGACAGAAAGCGAGATATCACCCCTCCAGGGGGGATGGCCACACCGCAATCCCTTCTCCTCCATTCTCCTCTCAGAATCTTGGGCACGCACACACACGCGCCCGGCGTGAGTTTAAGCCACTGGGTCCGGGACTCGAACCACGGTCGACTACGTTGGAGTCCAGCGACATAGCCATTTCACTAACTGCTGGTCCCAAAATTAAGGCTCATATTATCAAAAATAGCTAAAGCTCCCTTTTAAAAGTTCTTTTAAGAAATTATTAAATATCAATAGACAATTTATTAACAATGTGTACCTCATACTGTTGGCCATTTTCATAAATGTGAAAAGTAACTTGGATGTTAATGATAGAATGTCAGACACTGCCCTGTAAGATGAAGATCTCCTATTTTGCATGTTCACAAAGATTTGCATAAGGATGGTCATAGCAGCTTTATACACAATCACCAAAAACTGGAAATTGTCAGATGTCATCAGATGAATAGGTAACAAAATGTGATATGTTCACACAGTGGAATATCACTCGGCAATAAAAAGACACAGTCTACTCATACATATAACAACATGGCTGAACCACCGGCAGGGTCTGTAGCCTGGTGGTTAGGGCAGCTGGACCCCACGTGGCCAGCCAGTCCTGTTAGAGTTCCAGGCCTATAGCTTGGAAACATGATTTATGTTTGTGTGTGCATGCCCAGGGTCCTGAAAGGGGGAAGAAAGGATTGTGGCATGACCGTTTCCCTGGGTGAGGGGATGCTGTCGTCTCTTTCTGTTTCTCCCTGGTGAGTGCACTTCGGCTAGCCACTCTCAGGGGTGCTGGGTGGTAGTGTGGTGGTGAAACGCAATGCTCTGTGACGTTGCCCTGCATGGGAAGGTCTGGGTTTGTATCTGGAGGCCTCCCTGAGTGTACTCGGCACATACATGCCCAAGAACCAGGGCTGGCTGCAACCAGGGGTGGGTTATGTGTCAAGATCCTGTTCGGGGTGCTTTCTCTCTGACTCTGTGTCTGTTTCATTCATGGAAGAAACAAGTGAAAACTTAACCACAAAATTATAAGAAATGAAGTCAGATCCCATGGTAGGAAATACTAATATATATAAAAGGGAAAACTACAGAGACAGAAAAAGCAGATCACTGGTGACCTAGGGATGGGAGTGGAGAAAGACTGCAAATGGATATGAAGCAACGTTAAAAATTTTTTTAGGTTTTCACCACAGGGTGCATGTGCTCGCCAGAGAGAGACAGAAAGACAGTAAAGTGAGAGAGAAAGTGAGAAATCACCCTCCAGAGGGGATGACCATGCCACAATCCCTCCCCTGTTCTCCTCCTGGGATCTTGGGCCTGCACACACACACACATGCCCAGTGTGATTTTTAGGCCAGATCCAGGACTCGAACTGCAATCTGCCGTGTGGAAGTACCGTCACCTTAGCCACTGCACCACCTGCTGGGCCTAGACATGAAGCAACTTTTGGGATGATAGAAGTGTTCATGGGTTGTAGTAAATGTTACACAACTGTATAAATTTACTAAAGCTCATTAAACTGATACTTAAAATTTATAGTATATAAATTATCTTTAAAAAGTCATTTTTTATTTAAAAGAATGCCGGTTCTTATTTATTGAAGTAAGTTTTGAAGAACCTTGAACTGAACTAACAAATACTAAGAAGGGGCCTGGCAGGCGACATAGTGGTTAAGGGCGCTGGATTCCCACATGGCTGACTTGCGGTTCAAGTCCTGGACCTAGCAACTTATTTTGTCAATTTCTCTCTCTCTTTCTTCCTCTCGTCAAATAAAAATAAGTAAGTTAAATAAAATAATTCTTTTTTCCAAAAAAAAAAAAAAAAGGAAGAATTGGGACCAGTGGATGGACTAATGGTTACATCACTGTACTCCCACATAGTCGACGGCGGTTCAAATTCCAGACTTGGCAGCTTAAAGCTCACGCTGGTCCCATGTACATGCATGCCCAAGGTCCCAGAGGAGAATGGAGAAGAAGGGATTGCAGCGTGGACATCTTCTGTAGGGGATGATTTCTCACTTTCTATCTCTCTGTCAATCTGGTGAGGACACACTCCCTACAACAATAAGAGCCCTTCACCACCACCTGCTGGCCCCTATTTATTTACTGTTTAGAGAAAGATTTTTGTTATAGGCAGTGTGTCCTCGCCAGAATAGGCAGTGTGTCCTCGCCAGAGAGACAAAGTACCAAGGTGGCACGAAATGACACAAGGTGACCGTTAGACACATGCAGAAACATAGTGCTTTGGGTTGTCACTGCAAGCTAGTGAAAATCACTAACAAGGAATATGTGTTCTCGGGACCAGCAGTAGGCGTAATGGCTATGTTGCTGGACTCCCATGTATTTGACTGAGGTTCAAGTCCTGGACCCGGTGGCTTATATTCATGCCAGGTGCATTTGTGTACGTGCCCAAGACCCCGAGACAAGAATGAAGGAGATGGGATTGCAGCATGGCCATCTCCCCTGGGGGTGATTTTTCTCGCTTTCTGTCTGTCTGTCTCTCTCTCTGTCTTTCTGGCGAGTGCACGCGCCCTATAGCAAAAACCTTAAAAAAAAAAAAAAAAA